TCAATCAAGCACATAGCCTAAACAGTCTGCGCAAAAGGGTATCAAATAAGCACATAGCCTAAACAGTCTGCGCAAAAGGGTATCAAACAAGCACATCGCCTAAACAGTCTGTGCAAAAGGGTGTCAAATAAGCACATCGCCTAAACAGTCTGTGCAAAAGGGTGTCAAATAAGCACATCGCCTNAAAGGGTGTCAAATAAGCACATCGCCTAAACAGTCTGTGCAAAAGGGTGTCAAATAAGCACATCGCCTAAACAGTCTGTGCAAAAGGGTGTCAAAAAAAGGGAAAAAAAAAGGAAAAAGGGTATCAAGTATCAACAACATGCCGGACACACGTGAATCTATATAACTTGCGCACAACTTTTCAAGCACTCACCATTTTGCAATTTAACCACGAATACTTCCACACCACTTTTCCCCGGGCTCAAAATGCCGAGCACACGCCAAAAACAAAAACGAACTGGCACTGGCCTCCTTTTGGCTGGCGCCGCCAACCATTTTGCTCCGGCAGCCAACTAACCAACAAAAAGCTGCAGCATGCATGCAGTGACACGTCGGATGAAAAAGGGTTGCAAAACATACTGTGGTTCATTTAGTCCTTTTTATATAAGTAACGTTGTGTAATGTCTTTTGTATTGCACATAACTTTTTTTCTCTTTCTTTTTGTATTACACCTATATGACTTCAAGATCAAGCAAAACAAAAGGGCGTGTGAAGCATACTGTTGATGCTCTTTTGCGTAGACCAAAGGGTGCGTCAAGCATGTTGTCGCTGCTGCCCTTTCACGCACACCAAAGGGTGCATCAAGTATGTCGTTGCTACCCTTTTTTTTTCCTTTTGTTTTTTTGACACCCTTTTGCGCAGACCGTTTAAGGCTATGTGCTTGATTGACTGACTTTGATTGGGCGCCTTCTTGTGCAGGTGAGCGTTGAAGATGTACCGCTTTACGTGAACACAAGCAGCGCTGATCATGAACGTATGTAAGCTACATTCCTGGCTCGATGCAGTCCGGATAAGGCTTGGCCACGTTGGGGGGTTAGCAAACCTGTTGTTTTAGGAGTTTATGGCTTATGACCACGTGTCCCTGGAGTTATGTCCATACTACTGAGAGAGAGAGAGAGAGAGAGAGAGAGAGAGAGAGAGAGACATAGAGAGAGAG